AAAAAATCTATAAATTACTGCAACATTAGTTTTCCTTTGGAAATAATAAGGTGATTTTGAATTGAATAACTATGAAGAACATTATATGATATTATATATCAACATTAAAGCAATGTTTCAGGGGACTATCCAGGAACCCAAACTTTAGACACAAATGGGTCTTACAAATGAACAAACCCCCCAGATCAGCTGCAAAACGTCCACAATTTGCTGCAGTCATCACGGTCAAAATGTCAGCTGGAGAGAAACTTAGTGAGAAGAGCTGAAAGGGTGTGAGGAAAAAAAAAAACCTAACTTTTTCCTCCACCTCTTAAAACATTTTCTGGGTTTTTAAATATTCAAAAGGATCTGGCATGTCCTTATCTTTCTAAGCTTCTAGATATATATTCTGCCATAGATATTCTGCTATGGCTTTTAGAAGATCAACAACTCTCTGTGGACTTGAGACCCGAAGAAATAGAGCATTCTAGCTTCAGTTCCTAAACTCTGGAAAACTTCCTTTCCTTTTTTAAGTCTTCCAGAACGCTTAAAACTACAGAGAAAACAATAAACAAGCCAGACTTTCCGTTGTTTGCAGTTTTATTGTTAATCCGATTGTTTATCATGTTCTCATTACTTAGTCCTTTAATCCTTGTGATGTTATAGTGCTTAACAAATGTTTTGATTTAACAATTTTTGTTCTGTTAGTATGAAGGTAGATTTTCGTCTTTATTATTAAATTTTAAAAAATGTAGCTTCAAATTAAAAAATATGTTTTCAATTAAAAACGCTGTCACTTCAATGAAAAAAAAAACCTTTTCAATCAAAGAAAAAAGGTATTTGAATGCAAAAATATAGTTGAGACTGATAAAAAATAAATTTGAACACTGCTTTTCTTTGATTGAATTTTTTTTCTTTGATATATACTTGAAGTTTGTTTTGTTTAAAGCAACTTTTTAAATTTAAGTAACGTTGGTTTTTGATTGGACAATATAATGGGTAGGACGTTTATGTCTTTATCGTTCAATCAAAAAGGAAGTTGTTCAAACAAACAACTAATCAATTAAAAAACACTTCAATAAAAATGTTTTCAATCATAGAAGAAAGTTTTCGAATCCAAATAAATTATTTGAGACTCCAGAAGTGGCATTTAAACACTTCACTTTATTGAAAATATTCTCTTTGATCTAAGTAATATTTTTTTTGCATTTGGGCCAAACATGCATATGTCAGAAGGATTGGGCCAGAATTACACAAAACTATTGTGAGAAACTTCTGGTAAAAAGCCAAAAAAAAACATTTGACCCTGGTCATACAGTTTAAAAGAAATTCTATCTAATATTAAGGTAATTGGGGGTTGGGGTTCACATTTAAGTTTCAGTAAATTCTATAATAAATACTTGATGTGTTTATTTTATCATGCTAGAACTTGAAAACCAGTTTTAATGGTTAATACTCACAGTTGAGTCTGGTGACCCTCCATATTTTATCCAGGCCTGGTTGTTTTCCCAGTTCTATCTTATATGGTGCTGCGTTTGGCGGCAGGTCCTTGTCCCGACCTCCAACGATGGCTACATTCAAATCATTAGCATCTTCACACACCTGTGCTACAGATGGCACCACAAACGGAGCATTGTCATTGTAGTCTTCCAGATGAATGATCAGTGTACCTGTCCCTGTGGCTGGAGGGGTGCCTGGAAAAAGAAAACAAAAACTTTATAAAGACAGCGCAATGACCAGTATTCATTGAGTCACCTGCCAAGATTCTCTCATCTGCTCCAGGCTGAGATGATCCTAACTGAGAAGATTGTGAAAAGCAACGGCAGCAAGAGATGTGAAAGGAGTAAAAATACAATGAATGTGCAGCAAAACGCCATAATGACGCCATGATTATTCTGAATTAGAATGTTCTCTAAGTGTTCAATTCACAGTCTGCCAGGGGAGTCAGAATCACTGTGGAAATGATAGAGGACATCTCAAGATAATCCAACCTTACCATCCTTCAGCCGCTTAAAAAACATCTATTGTTCTATTCTTATTCCAAGAACTACCAAGCGGAGACTCCCAACAGCAAGAAAGTAGAGCATTCTATAGGAGCTGCTGGTTATATTCAACAATGCCATAACACAGTCTGTTCTGTGTTAGTCCATCTCTGCATAGTTTGGCTCATCTACAACTAAAACTAACTATCCGGTCTGCAGAGAGGATCATCAGGGCTGACCATCCCTCCACCCAGGATCTGTACATGTCTTAGGGTAAGGAAAACAGCAACTAGCATCTCAGCAGACGCCACAAACCCTGGCCGAAATCTGTTTAGACTGTGACCTTCAGGTGACACTACTACAGAGTGCTATTTACAAAGCAGGAGCCACCACAGAGACAGTTTCTTCCACCAGGCTGTTACTCTGCAGGGACACTGAACAGTCAGATTATTGACATCAGTGTCATGCTTACTGACACCAACCCAGCAATGTCCTCCTCTTTGTAAAACTACATTTTACAGACATTTATTGAAACATAGTAAATGCACATTTGTACTTAAAATGTCCTTATTTGGACCAAAAAAGAATCTTAAATGCCTTGTATACATGAACTTGACTTTAAAAATTTAAATTAAATGTCAAAGGTAATAACACAAAATCCACATAATATGACCGTAGTGTGAAAAAGACCATCATGATCCTTCATTTCTGATCTTCTTCAGTGTTTCATTGAGATAATGCCTTACTGACAAATGTTGGGTTAAAGGACTACTTGGTTTTTCTCTGTAATGGTTTTCTGAGCTACTGTGATTAGAGGTTAATACAAAATAGTTCCAGGAGTCAGGCAGCAATGAACTCTTCTAGACTTAATCAAAACATAGAAAACCTATACAAATGTATTTTATGAACCAACAACTTCAGCTAACTAAATTTAGAGAGAGGGTTAGCTCCATGCTGACCTTTAAAAGAGTATTTAGTTTCCGTTTTTACCCCCAATGTTCGTTATAGACACACATTGTATACAACTTCTGCTGGTTTTCATTCTATACATGTAAAACAAGCACTCAAACACCTTGACAAGAAGATGAGAGGCAAAGTCGCAAAGATGTCAAGGAGAATAAAAAATATCCTTTTTCTGTCAATGTAGATTCACACAAGTCCTCTTAAATAGCAACAACAGACAATTTAGTTGAAGCTGTTGTATGGATGTTGTAGTGTTAGGCACAACACTGTATAACAATGGATTGTGTGTGAAATGTTCTTTTTTTTAACCTTAAAAGTTTTACCACATACCACATTCTACGTTTTAATTGTATCAAGTGGTCATCATATAAACACTGATATCACTTTGAAAGGGATGATACTAGTAGCATAATTCCAGCTCATTAGAAGTATCATCAGATTATAGAGCCATTAGGCATCAATATCAAAAGAGTTAGATAAATAAATGAATTACACTTGAATGCAATGTTTTTTAAAGGAGACAAGCAATCTTAAAGGCTGCAAAGGAGCCATCGGCAGATGGAAGGTGCAGTCTTTCTTTTTTTGATTGATGGAAGCCTTCTGACTCCAGGACGGTGGCTGCTCCAGCCCCTCGGTGATGGTATAGTGGGAGGAGGGAGCGTATGTGAACTGTGTCGCTGTCACAGTCTGGCTTGTGGATTGCGACAAAAATGTACAAATATGTATTATTCAGAAATACAAAAAGACTAAAGACAGTCCGGCTTATAAAGTCAGTAAAGATAAGCCATGTCAAAGTGAGGAGCGTTTAATTGAAATTCAAATGCGAAGCAATCTGACCCTAGATGACAAGTATTGCTTGGGGTGGTGGAGGTACAACTGGTCATTAATCTGGTCCTTCCCTTTTCTTCTCTTTGTTGACCTAAACTGCAGATAGGACCTAAGCTGCAATAAATTTCACAGTCAACTCAGCTGCAGGGTGAGTGCCTCCCTTTATCCCGATTATAGACCATAAAGGAGGCTTTCTTCAGCCATCAAAACAGAGAAAGACAGATTTCAAAATAGCTTAAACAAAAAATATTTCCCTGTGAACTGCTTTAAACAAGAAGTGAGTTCATCACAGTATCATCCACGATATCTCATAATAGGCTTATCAATGAAATATAAAGTTTTTCTTTATTATATATATATATATATATATGAATAGAATATGCCAGTTTCTGGCAGCTGTAAAAAAGAACTTGAACACTTTTCTCTACAAAGCTCTTGTATTCAGAGAATATAAAATTACATTTATGTTCCAAATATATTTTAGAAATGATTTTCTGTCTTAATTCTTTTCCAATGTATTTATTTTCATTTTTTGGACATGCAAATGTAATGATGTTATGTAAATGCATTGTAAAACACCAAGAAAAGTAGTTGTCAAGCTTATGATAAATAATGGGGATCCATGTAATTAATATAACCATAAATACTCAGCAAATCTGGGATGCCTTTTTTTTTTGCATTAGAATTGTTAAACTGACAGAGTAAATAGAGTAATCCCCTATAACTAGAAAGAAAACAATACACAGACAAGGTGATTTGTATTTACCTGAACATCTTTTTTATATATGTGACCTAAATTAAAGTAATCCTTGCCTTTTTGCATACCCAAATAGAAAATAAAATAACAAAGGAACTGTAAGCTTAAATTACACATCAATTTAAAGCTTCTACTTTCTGAAAGGATAAATGAAAATAGCTTGACTAAAACACAGCCGAATTTGCAGCAGTTAAAACACGACTCATAGTTTTCTTTTTCTTCTCAAAAATAGGTGTTTTTACAAAGCAGTAACAAAGACATGCTTGAAAATAGGCATGTGTCAGTGTTTTACACTTATTCTGCATTATATCATCAACTAGATGCAGAAGATTTCAGACCTTTTGTTCCAAGCCATGGGACTTTTAACCTCTTGAGTCACCAGCATCTCTAAACCTCTCCAAATATGCCAAATTATTTCAAATTGTGCTTATTGCTTTTACACAACAATTTTACCCCAAAAATCATACTGGAGCTTTTTGATGGCCACAAAACATTTTTAAAGCAAATATTTCTTCTTTTTTTTTCACAGCAATGTTGTTTTGTAGGCTGGAAGGTGAGGAAAACAAACATACCCAACAGTGACAAAAAATGTGTGTTGGAACCAGGGTCATTAGAAAGACGGTTAACATTAGCTAAGAGGATCAAAGTTTTCTGATGGTAAAAAACTGACTTTATGTGGCGATTTTCTCATCAATGGAATGTTTTTTTTATTACGAATATGCTGGATTACTTTTTATCTGTGGACCCTTACCGACAAATGGAATATAAATAATCTAAGACTGGATTTATAATATGGCCTCAGGAACGCTTCAAATGTAGAAACTCAAAGCTTTAGTTTTGATTTAACATGCTGCTATCTTTATTAATGTGCTGAGTTGCTCTTGGTTCTAATAAAATGAACTAAGATGTATGACATGTCAAAAATTGTCAAAAATTGTTAAAAGTTTAAATGATTATTTTCAAGCGTACTGATGTGTTTGATCTAAATATACAAAACAGAGTGCCGGCAAACTCGTGGGAGTAAAGACGTTAAAACTTTGGCCAAAACTTACATGGCACAGTTTTAATATGATTCTGAAAAAAATGTTATTACACTTTGAATGAGGTGTTAAAATATATATAATATATACCCTTTGATGACATTAACTGAGAAAATCAAATGATCAAAATAGAGGACTTAAATATCTCAGAGAAATGATGACAGACCCGCTTTGCCCCATATTTCCCTCACTAATGTTCTTTGTGCTTAGTACCAATGTATGGAATGCTGCTGAGAAATCATATCTACTACTGGAACTGTTAAGCAGACAATCTTTATGATCTGTTTGCCAAGCTCGAAACTTTAATTTCATTCTCAGCTGTAAAAACCATCGGCAGATTGTAATGGTGAAAGATAAGTAGGAATCAAATGTAATGGTACAGAGTTTGTCATTTCTACAGTGTAATAGTCGTGAAATGACTACGATCTCTGTGTGCACACTCTCAAGGAATGACACAAAACAGCAAATGCTCCTTATATACTGTAGATAAATAAGGCCGTTACAATATCAGCAGCAGATCAGGAGTGAAAAGGAATTACTTTGAAAAAAAAGCAGATGGAAAATGTGTTTAAAAGTAAATCAAAGACAGAAGGCTCTCTCACTCTGCACCCTAGATAATCCATTATCTCAGATGGGAGACCAAGAGAGTGAGGATAAAAGTTGGATCCCCATCAGTGAAAAGATGCAAATTTCAACCCATTTGCAGTTTGCAGGGTGTCTCTGTGCTTGGCTAACTTTAAATGAAGCTGTTTGTCTTCCTAAATGAATACTCCCCTCACCAATCACTCTATTTGCCTGAACCTCTTGTCTCCCCCTCCTCCTCATTCCCCATTGCATCATGACCGTGTCATCATCCGCCTGGATCTGCATCAATGAGGCTTGTCTGCTGGCCCCTACTTCACACCACTTTGTCATCAAAGTTCTGGTTAAAAACTCAAGAGTTTCTGGAAGAAGCATAGACTTTATTGCTACAATGTGTTCGCTCACCCTTTGAATGTCATACAAAAAAAGCATATGAAAAGGACAGTTTATTATTCAAAGAGCAATTTGCTTTTCTACATTTTACTCTCTATACTGTAAGTTAGCATATGTGGATGAGGAGTATAAATATCAGCCTTCACTGA